GTGTGTGTGTGTGTGTGTGTGTGTGTGTGTGTGTGTGTGTGTGTGTGCGCGCGCGCGCGCGCTTGCCGTTTCTGTCCACTGGAGCGCAGAGCGGGGAGAAGCTGCAGAGACGGCCCCGGGAAGCACCAAGCTCATCAAAGCCATCTGACTCAAACTGAGTCATGTTCGGTCACCAGTCCGGCCTCCACGGCTGCCACAGGTTTCACAGCTACCAAGGCCCTTCTGTGCAGCACACTGCACTGCAAGGACATGGATGTACAGCGGTTCTCATTAGAGGAGCACAGGCAGAGAGGAACGAAGGGAAAACCAGGTGAAAAATCCCACAGATACGAGTCTTAAAGAGGCAGTTTGTCCGCTTTTAAAAGTTCAGGATGAGGCAAAGATAACATACAGTATATCTGTAAGCAGGGACTATATAAAGAATAATGCAACATTGGAACAAAACCTTCAGTGTTGACAATAAATATTCAAAGTAATGCAAAAGAAAACAAGATCACAGCCTAACCTAACACTAACATGGCCGTCACTGTTGTAGGTACTCATTGCATTACTGGACTTTGTACAGCAGGTGTGTTAAAAGGGAAGTTGGGTCTGGTTGACAGGTCCAATATTTTCACTCATTACTTTGCAAGCACTGCACAGTAAACCAATGGGAAGCTGAAAGTGGCAGGACACTGCTCGTTGTCATGGTTATGCAGGCAGGTGGACCCACATGCAGAAACAACATGAACCGAAGAAATGTAATCATCTGTTACCAGAGTGAAAACACGAGGAGCAAAACAGCTGCAAAAATATACAAAAGATACAATGACCACGATCTGACAAAGAACAATGACGTATATATGTGTGTGTATGTATATATATATATATACCATATATACATACGAGGAAATAATCACAAGGAGACACAGCTTGAGGAGGGAGGGGCTGGCATGAGGAGGGAAAACACCATGATTGGCTAACGAGACAATGAGGGTGTAGTAGGAAACCCAAGGGCAGAGCAAATGAGACTAACAAAAGACATGTGTGCAGTGGGAAAGTAAGGCTAACGGGGCTACGCCAACACAAGACACTGTCTGAAATAAACCGACACAAATTAGAGAAAACAAACCTCCCAAAACCAATGATCAGCTAAATTACGTTGTGAATTAGGTGTTACGTTTCTGCAGATATCGTCTGCAAAGTTACTCCAGAAGGACCTGAAACACTGATGTCAATGTCGATATCCTTCAGTCTCCAGATATCAACCCAACCGGACGCCTGTGGGAGATTTTGAAGCAATACCCCACAACTGTAAAATGTGTGAGTATCTTCTGGAAGAATGCTGATCATCCCTCCAGTGGAAGAATCTACACCTCGCCAAGGAGTACTGAAGCTGCTCGGGAGGCTCATGGTGGTGCAACGAGACACTTCATGTTGGTTTGTCTGTTAATTTGTCACCCAATAGCTTCAGCCCAAAAACATCTGTGATTATATTAACTTCTAAACCCTGTGTTTATTTATGCCTTGTGAGAGCTTCACCCTCCCTACACACCATTTGAAAGGCTATCTGTTGGGTGTTAGGGAAGCGCGCACACACACACACACACACACACTTTCCGGGTGGGAATGTTTGGGAGGGTGTAACACTAAATGTTCCTTGTGGAGCAGTGGAATCGGTGACGAACACTATAAAGTAATGATCTTTGAATTGCCTTGTTGTTGAGCGGTGCTACAGACATAAAGTTACCCGGTCTGCCGACTGTCACCAGTAGATGGGGGTGTTGGCTCACTGTTCACAATGGAAATAATCAGCAATGATGTGGGATTTAAAAAACAATGAAGTGACTCTGATACTCTGGAACCTGTGCTGCCGTTAACAGTTTGATCATCATTTATTGATTGGTTTATAGATAACAATGTCAAGGTCAGTCTGGAGCTACACCAGCAGGAAGAGTTCCTACTGGCTGCACAGATAAGTGTCTACACTACTGCATGATTTTAACCCTGAGATAATCATAACACAGTAACGCAGAGAGATACATCCAGTAATAAATGAAAAGAATATGACACCTAACAATAAAATCATCAACAGTTCCGCTACATTAATATTCTCAGTGCTGGTTTATGGTGGTTTCTAATGTGGATCGCACTGAATTACCTTTCCATCTCATCCAGATTACATCTTTAAACAAAATAATATACACCAAATGCTGATCAAACACTATTTGAAGCATGTGCTACTTTTTTTATAACGACATCAACACATTTGGGCCGTGACTACGGAGGCCCAACAGTGACCAAAGAATCAAAGATATAACTGAATACATCAATCAATGATACGGTTTGTTGATTCATTTACATGTTTTGAAAAAAGAAATAGAACACCAATCAGTTGGTAAAATAAATCAAATCACGCACACGCACGCACGCACGCACGCACGCACACACACACACTGGATCAATCCTTGGCAAGGCCATTTCATATAAGCATGAGGAAAGAAGGATATTTTGTGAGGAAAATATAAAAAATGATAAATGATCACATTTTATAGCTAGTGAATTATCTAATGAAAAAATAACAAAATAGGTTTTAATTCATTCTATCAAGTGATTAGTGGTAAAATTATGAAACTAAAAAGCATTTAGCTTTTTCTTACCAATTGAATGAACAGGGGAAACATAATTTACAAACGTAATTTCTGAGCCTCCGCAGTGGACAAGTGCCGTTAACTTCTAGTGCTGCAAAGCTTTATTACTTTCTTCAGACTTTCATGAATAACTCTCATGACAATGAACATTTGCATAGGGAGGTTAAAGAGCAACTCTTAAAGAGAGTCGACAGCGCACTTAAACACTAACCCAGACGTGTGCAGTGACCTGTGCAGCACCGTGCCACCGTCCGTAAGCACCAACAGCCTGAGTAGACGCTAACAATGGTGGTGCATTAACGCTAAATTACACCAGCAAGAGTCAAACTGAAAAACACTTTGGTAAATACAAATAAAAGGATTCTCAGGGAAATATGACTGCCAAAGAAAATCTGAAGATCTCAAGATAACCTTCTAAAGACAAGCACACAGTAAGGTCTTTGGCAACAATCGACAAGATTGAATACTCTTGATTGTCAGGAAGCATTACAAAAAGAGTCGGCACATGTAAAACATGAGCACCATATGAGGTTTCCAGTCTGTCTGTGTCTCTGTGGTTTTACACAGCGCTAGACATGATGAAGACGTAGATCCTGGCGAGGAACGAGGTGAATGTCCCCTGCCTCAGCAGCTTCATCTCCACATCGATCAGGAAGTCTTTGGCCTCGCGGACTTGTCTCTGCAGGTAGACGGCGCCCGTGAAGCTGTTCAGCTTCCGGGTGCTGAAGTAGCCCTCCTCGTTGCCTTTGACGACGCCGATGACGATGTGGTCGCCGGAGTAAGCGGGGGACGGTCCGATTCGGAAGATCTGGGCGGGGATGATGATGTTGGTCTGGAAGCCGAGCTGGTAGTACGTGATGCGGACAGGGGACTTCTGACAGTCTAAGGAGTTACTGGGACAGCTGGTCCGCTCGCAGCGGCTGAAGGTGAGTCGAGAAAGAGAGAGAGAGGAGGAGGGTGGATAAGCATGACAGTGTTTGGGGGCCTGGTGCTTTGGGTGGAACATTAAATACCTCGGCTGTGGAATGACCTGCCTGGTAAAGTGGCAAAAAATAAGAATCCTCTTTAAAAATCACTGTTGAAAACGTATTTTAACAACAATTCTCAAAGATAAAAGTCCTTAACGACGATCACTGCTGGCAACATATTCCTACCACCCGGCCCGACCGGCCCGACCGGCCCGACCAGCCCGACCAGCCCGACCAGCCCAACCAGCCGGACCAGCCAGACCAGCCCGACCAGCAGGAACAAACGCCACCAACAACGGTGCAACTGCCTCAGGAAGAGAGGGGAAGAGAGCCGGGATGAGCTAACCCGGCTAACCCAGCTTGGACCCAGGTGTGTTCCATTACCCAGCATGCTCCTGGCTAATGTCCGGTCACAGGAAAATACATTGAATGAATTGAGACTCAGGCTAACCCAGCAATGGGAAATCAGAGACTGTTGTGCCCCCAGGGGTCTCATTTATAAAACAGTGTGTAGGATCCAAACTAAATGTTTGCGTAGGAGGAAATGCACATACGCCAAAAAATATTCAGATTGATAACAAATGAATAAATGCCAAATCAACCTGTAAATGTGAGCAGCTGGTTCAGCCTCACATCCTGGCCTCTCCGCGCCCACATTCAACCATACATGCTCAATGCGAAGCACCTTATGAATGTTGATGCATAGAAGTGAGCTGCTGATCAGAGGGTCTTTACGGGGAATCACGGCAACTACCAGGAGGAAGAACACTCATTCGCTCCTATTTCTTCCATTCACGCAGTTAACAGCGCCAGAGTATCTATGGTTCAGCACAACACATCACGAGTCTCACCGTAGTGTTTATGTTTACAGCAATCAGACTGATCGAGTCCAAAATGATCCGAACAGTCGGTGGTACCCACCACCGTGGAGGGTATTCTTTTAAATGAAGTTTGATAGGTGAACACTTTGGTAATGTACTCAATGCTTCTGTGCAGGCGGTGCAGACTTGCAGGTGAGGAGAAGGCAGAGTGTGTGACAGTCACCATGGTTACTGCAGTGAGCTCATCAGATAGCCGTTTACAGCTCGTCTGTGTTCAGTATGCTGTATCTGCCACTATGGAGTAAACCTGGTGTACTTGCTGACATCTGCTCAGTATTGAGGACTTTAGCAGATCCGCCGCCCTGTGCTTCACTGAAACCTGGCTCGGTGAGCACATCCCGGACAGCGCACTACATCTGCCGGGCTTCCAACTCCTCCGAGCGGACCGCGTAACGACGCTGTTCTGCAGTTCTTTAACACTAGTTGACGTTCTCTCACAGATGATGGTGATTTCATCAGCTGCTCCACAGCTGACCACCAGTGTCAGTAGTTCGGTCTCTCCTCTGCTCTGAGGAGAGTAGAACGCGCTGGTGAAATATGAAGCGGAATCTCATTTGAGGTTTTAGTTGGTTTATGTCTTGAACGATTGAAAGGTGCTTGTAGTTACGGCTCAGCAGTACAAGCACTAATACCACTGCTGGTTTATGATGAAGAGAATATATAAGTGCAAAGTAACGTGTGATGTAAAGTGAAAGTAAATGTGAGAGAGACATCCTTATACGTATAATGAATCTTCTCACGTTTAATTTACACAGTCTGGCTTTAATTCACCATCTCACCATCTGTGTCGCTAATTTCCCGTATCTCCAAAATGTTGGTACGCATGGGTCAGCGTTTACGTACAGGTGAGCACATTCTCTCGTTTGTTTTTATAGATCACAACCTTTGCATGGGAAGTGTACGCAGTGGTTATAAATGAGACCCCGGGTCTTTACAGAGACCTGGCTCCATCGTAACACCCTGGATCCAGCTGACCTGGGCGGGGGCTGTTCCGCAGTAGATCATACATTTTCTTTACTCTTGTGCAGAATAAAAGGACTTGCATTTTGTTGTAGAAGCACAATAAGGAAACTTTGAACGGTATTATATCTGAAAGGAAGAACTATATATGCCCTTGTTTACCAATAAAACACAGATAATTGCGATTAAATACGATTGGGGGGAAACATTTCAAGATTCTACAGATGCAGAGAGAACCAACGTGACTCACGTGTCCGACACCTTCTTGTAGTTGTGAGGGCAGTCAAAGGAGAGACATCTGAAGCCTCCCTGGAGGTTATAGCAGGTCTGTCCCAATGAACAGTTGTGGGTTCCAGTTGTGCATTCATCGACATCTGAAAAAGACAATAAATAAAAAGGGACACTGACAGTTTTGCAGTTTCATTTTGAAGAGGATGCTTTTTTTGGTTGAAATTCAATCCTCTCACTTTGAACGTAACGTGGCGCAGATTGACAAAAGAAATCGCCAACTCAAGGTCTCACTAGAGTTTTTCCAGAGCGTTCAATTTAAGTGGCTGTGTTGGCATGAGTGCATACGATACAATGTCGCCAATACAAACTACACAATTATAATAATAAATAATAATAAAAAAGGGCAGGGCAAAAAGAGCAGATAGTGGTTATGATGCATTTACAACTTTTAGGACTTCCTGTCTGGTGGCGTGTGCTCACTCTACTGAGAGTTAGGGGAGAAGATTGATACCACTCTCAAAGAAGAATGGTATCCATCTTCTCACCTAACTCTGCAAATCAGCAAATGAATGCATTTCTGAACTGTTCCTTTACAGCTTACACTTGGAATTGATTGTCTTAAATTCCCTCTGTAAAAACATTTGAATCTAAAATGTCATTGAAATTAAAAACAAGAATTTTGAACCTGGCCTTTATCCAATGTTCACATTTCTGTTCTGGAAATGTATAAAAATATGCACCTTTTTAATAAGACAAGATGTATTAGTTAACATTTTTATGTTTTTAATATTTTATTACATTTGATGAACTCATTTAATTAACCCATCAGGCGTGCCTCCCTTGGTTGCTGTGGTCTTACAGTAGGACCAGGACACATTTCACTGAGGCCTCACCTTTGCAGGTGCGTCCATTGGCGGACAAGACATATCCATGAGGAGGACAGGCGCACTGGTAGCTGCCAGCAACGTTAACACACTGGAAGGTACAAAGGTTCCCGATGCTCTGGGAGCACTCGTCGATGTCTGTTTGAAAAAAAAAGACACACACACATCTCATCAGTTGGATTTGAGCTGTGTTTTGAAAGCTGGCGGCAACCTTCAGTTCTGCAGAGGGAGGACAATACAGAAGTGTCTTAAAACTTGCATTCTCTCCACTGACCAGCAGGGTGCGACTCCTGCTGATGCAATAAGAAGTCTGATTGCATAAAAGTCTATGAGAAAATGACTCTACTTCTCTCTTGATTTATTACCTCAGTAAACATTGTAAACATGAGTTTATGTCTCGATCTCTAGTTTCAAGTCTTCTTAAATACAGCATGATGTTCATTCAGTAAATGATGGTCCATTTAGAGTCAAATAGACCATAAAGCAGAGTATGCTTTAGGGCGGGGCTACCTTGTGATTGACAGGTCTCTGCCCCTACCAGAGCCGTACACTCCTCCGCATTCCAAATATGGTAACTTCCGTTTAGCGGTTGCAAAAAAAAACACCATGCTGACGGCCGTAATCCAAGATGGCGATGCCAAAACAACTCAAGGCTTCAAAACAACAGTCCACGAAGTAATGGGTGACGTCACGATAACTACGTCCACTTCTTACATACAGTCTTTGGTAAAAAACTAAAGGCAGGTTCATGTCTGTGTTATGAATATTTACTGTCACTTGAAACTATTTGCAGTTCTGTCTCAAGATCTGATGTGCAGACAGCCACAGGTTTCATCCACCACGAATCTTTTTTATCTACCATCTCAAAAAGAATAAAAACAGAGCTACAGAGAAAATGCTACATTTTTAACTCACAAATGTAAAGGCCCTATATGTAGATAAGGGAGGACCAAAGTTTAAAACTGCCCTTTTTGTTTTTTGGCCACTTGGCTGCAGAACAACTTCCCAGCAAGTAAAAAACCCGTACACTCCCAAGCCATTATTTAAGATACACCTATACAATCTAATGAAATCTAGTACAACAGCTCTGTGACATTATCTAACTTCACAAAGCATGTAATGTCCAGCTAATCCAACTATATGTTTATCCTTGAGATTGTAGTTAGTGGTGGTGTGGTATTGGTTTCTAATGTTTGTAAATGGAGCGCATCTCAATATAATGTACCGTCAATTCCGGACTATAGAGCGCACCTAGATATAGGCCGCACCTGCTAATTTTTAAAAGAAAAAAGAAATTGTATATAAATAAGCCACACTTGTCTATAAGCCACAGGTGTCCCCGTTGAAACATGAGATATTAACGCGGCAAGATGTTACAGGAAAGATTTTTTTTAACTTTTAATTAAATAAATGCCGGTAACATCCACAACTACATACATACCACAAATGCTTTTTTTTCAGAACAGTGCTTTTAACAGTACTAAAGATGTCTTCTTCAGTATCGGAATTGAACAGCCTGAAGGTATGTAATTATTTCGTCACACATTTTCTCGGCGAAAATACAGGAACCTACCAGCAAAAGTCATTGATCACTATCGCCATCGTCCTCCTGTGCACTAAAACCATTGAAGTCCTCTTCTTCAGTGTCGGAATTAAACAGCCTCAGAATTGCTTCGTTGCACTCAGTCTCTCTTTCGTTTGCGCTCTTAATGTCACTTTCCTCCCAAGGCAAATCCGCCCTTGAGCTTGCGCTGTCCTCCGCATCTCGCAGCAGTCCAGCCTTTCGGAACCCGTTGGTGATGGTGGATTCTTTGACACTGCTCCACGCTGTTAGGATCCACTGGCAGACTTGAGAAAAAGTTGCTCTTCGCATGCGGTCAGTTTTTGTAAAGGATTTCTCGCGGCTCGTCATCCAAGCCTCCCACTGAACTCGGAGTGCCACCTTAGATGAACGGTTCACACTAATGTCGAGGGGCTGCAAATACTTTGTTGTGCCCCCAGGAATCACAGCTGGAATTGAGTTTGTCGTCTTGATGGCTGCTTTCACAGAATCTGTTATATGGGCCCTCATGCTGTCCAAAACAAGCAATGCCTTTTTTCTGTGAAAAAATCCCCCCGGTCGCTTCGCGTAGCATTCATTCAGCCATTCCTTCATTAGGCTTTCTATCATCCACCCTTTCTTGTTGACTTTCACGGCGATTACTTTCGGGAATTTTTCTTTTGGCATTGTCATCCGCTTCAAAATCACCATGGGTGGAAGCTTTAGTCCGGATGCTGTGCAGCTCAGAACACAAGTGAAATGCGTTCTCTCATGGCCAGTTGTTTTCAGCGTGACGGACGATTCACCTTTTTTGTTAACAGTCCTAGTGAGAGGTAGGTCAAACGTCAAAGGTACTTCATCCATATTTATGATGTCGTCTGGTCCAGTGGAATTTTCGGCTATCTTTCTTTGAGTGAATTCGCTGAAGTTTGTAATTTTTTCCTTGAAGTCGGGAGGGAGTTGCTGACACATAGTCGTCCGTGCCCTAATTGACAGGCCTTTTCGTTGCATAAATCTGAAACACCAAGATGGTCCACCTCTAAAATCTTCAATATTCTTTTCGGTGGCGATTGTTTTAGCTTTCAGTCGGATCTGCACGGTGGAAACACCTCGGCCATCTGCTCTCTGTGTGTTCACCCAGTCTTCAAGAACGTTTTCAAGTTCGGGCCATCTGCTTTTCTTGCCTCTGAAAGCTTTTGTCGTCTTTTTGGTCTGATATGACAAGGTTAAATGTGTTGGCGGCAAAGCTAGTTAGCCTATGAACATCCATCAATTAGCCGCATCATTGTAAAAGCCGCAGTCTCAAAGCGTGTGAAAAAAAGTAGCGGCTTATATGCCGGAATTTACGGTAGTCCATTTCAACAGCAATGCAAGCAACAATCTCAATAATAAACATACAAGTTAATTACAAGCAACGACCTCTGGGATGAAAAATGAAGCCAACGCAGAAGTGCCAAAACCTGCAGTTCCTCAAATGTCCACTAGAGGCCAATTAATGCGTGTCAAGCTCTATAGACCCCCAATGTTTAGATGGCTAACTTTGCAGCAGATATAAATGCTTTTTTGTCACTGTAGATTATTTATCCGTTCAGTAAAACTGTACAGGGTGCATTTTTATATAGCTCACCCATTGAAATTAGATTAAGGCTAAAAGTTAGGCATAATTAAGGGCGTGGCCGTTTTGAGTGACAAGTTTCTACCACGACATTTTGTTTTAAGCCTGTTTTGCTGCCAGCTGAAATTAGCATCCCAATTAATATCACAGTTAAGGTGAATTACTGATGCACCTTGCTAGCGAAGCTAACACTAGCGTTAGCGGCTAACGGTACCTGGCACTTATGGTTGCAAAAAACAAAGACGGCAATGGCCAAAATGCCACACTGCTATAAAACCGTAGTCCACCAACAATGGTTGACGTCATGGTGACTACGTACACTTCTTTAGACAGTCTTTGGTAAATGAATACCTCCTTGACAATGTTAATCATAACCGAAAATTATTATCTTTGCAGAAAGGTAGAATTGATGGCTGAGTTGTTGTATGCATACGGTTTTTCCACCACCTCTACCATTCTCTACCGAGTAACGGTGGTATGCAATACCTTCACAGGCGTGTCCGTCCTCTTTCAGGTAGTAGCCTTGGCGACAGTAGCATTGGTATGAGCTGTAGATGTTGGCACACTCCTGGCCACAGGGGTTTTGGTCACACTCGTTTACATCTAAGCACAGAGAAGAAAAGACACGATTAGAATTCTTCCTGTTTTTCATATTCTTAAAAGATATGGCTGACCTCGTCCTGCGTTTCTTTTATCGTCAATGAATCCTATGAAAATTGACATTTGACAACGATTTATCTCATACGAAAAAGCTCTCTAAATACTCCGATTGCTCCGAGCCCATTGATTACAGAAGACGTACGTCTGTAAATGAGACACAAATGTTGAGTTGAATTTGTTTTAAAGTCCCAGTCATTTTCTAAAACTGCAGATCACTGTAGTTTTTAGCAATTGTTATTCAAACAGTAGGGAATTGTGTATTTGTTGGCGGCTATTTTCACAACATTTACACATTTAGTACTCTAATGAGTATTTCAGGTAGCAGGATGTTGTATGGGGACTGAGCTTAAAGTAAAAGACAGTAGTAATGAAAACAGTGTAGCTCATTGATGTGTTTTTAACAGATTTTGGATAACAATGGCGCACAGAGAAAGAAGATATACACAGTACTGGTTAGCAGAAAACAGTTAAGGTCTTCATGGGATTTGTTGACAACAATGATTATATAAAATACTGCCATCAATCATCCTTTGATGGAATAAATAAATAACATTTCAACAGGCAAAGAGATGAGCACCACCTACAGAAGCAGCATCAGAAGAAAAAGGTTAAAGAAAAAGAAGTTCCTATGGTGATACCTGAGGAGGTGTATTGTGGGAATACCACTTCAGCATATTTTGAAGGTTTCTAAATTGTGTTATTTAACTGCTTACCAAAGAAAGACGAGCTTCAAGTTTCTGGAACGAATTAGTCTGAAAAGCACTAATCAAAATCTAATCATGTCGCTCGCACAAGCTTTAAACAAACGAAAAGAAAAACCCTGAGGAGATGGAAAGCTTCACCTTTAGGCCGTGAAGGGAAACCACCACAACTTGATTAAGATCCCTGAATAATGGCTGCGACAAACTCAACGTAATGTGAATTGCGCTCCCGGTCACCTTCTTTGAAGCACAACCTCATCTTTGACGCACCTGACTGACACCATTATGTCAGACACCTCTGCATCCCGGAGATGGACACTAAATTGAATCCCAACAGAAAACGTTTTTTACCGATGACGAAGACTTACAAAGGCTGCATTCGGCTTTCTCCCCAGAGGCTTATACCTCGCCTAAAGTTCTTCAAGGGAAATAAGGCAGTCCATGTAAACAATTCTTCATATGTTAGAGAGAGAGAGCGAGAAAAAAACAGTCTAGCTTACCTTCACAGTTCTTGCCATCAAATGCCAGGGAGAAGCCGGCTGTGCATGAGCAGTGGTAGGAGCCCGGGGTGTTTTCACAGGTCTGGGCGCACAGCCTGCCGTGGTAGCGCCAGCACTCATTTACATCTGTCAGTGCAGGAGAACAGCAGCTATTAAGGCAGCAAACGGATACCTCCGGGCCACTGTGGACTCAATGCCGGGCCTCATTCAGACACACGCCCCAACAATGTGTAGGTGGGCTTTTTTCACATGAAACGCTGTTTTCGCCTGCCGCTCAAGTTCAGAGCACAGAAACTCCATCATGCTAGTATTGTTATCACAAAGAGTTTTCCGGTTTGTTCCTTTTTAAAATCTAGCGTTCCCTTGCTGGTGAAAAGATAAAATCCTGCTCTGTCTTTGTTCTGAAAGAGATTCCTAAGGAAAGCTCTCATTTACTTGACAGCTCTATTTCATGAAAGCAACCGTTTAGTTTGATCCAGTTTTATTTTGGTTTCCTATTAATAATACAGAAACAGAAACAGAAACCGAACATATGATATCATTAGTTTGTCGACTTTGCAGTTAATCAGATGTAAAGCCCATTCTGATCTGCTGGACATGGCGGTGTTTCTCTGGGATCAGTTGAACCGGTGTGGCTTCACAGACATAAGACTGAAGTCAAGCCTGAGATAGCTGCCTGTGTTGATCCCGTACTTGTAATCATAGAGCACTGGTGATGGGTGAGGCTGATCGGCAGCAGCAACCGCACTCCATGAAGGTGAGAACTTCACGCAGCATTATCAGGTCGTTAATTCATAAAAGCAGAATTTTTTGTCATGAAAACATTTCCCATTTCCCCAGAATTCTGAGATAAAATTCTCACAAATATTGAAAAAAACAAGGCAAATATTGTTTTCTCTCAAGTGCATTATGCTTACATAAAGAAGTATCCACAGACGTGCTGAGAGAATAAAAGCCCCACTAACACTATTGAGATTAACATTTAGAAAAAATAAAGTTTAATATAAAATATCTCTGTCATTCCATTCATTTTTGAACACAACTTCAAACCAACTGTTTCTCCTCCACACACTCCTCATACATATTTTAGGAAAGACAGATGGGGATTAAGTCAGTCTCTGCTGCACAAGAGAGAGAATGTCAGGTAGACACACAATCAGGACCTGCGGCCTTGTAAAGAACAGCTTGTGCATCAATGTTTTGTAACAGTTGAGTGTTTCTGCCAGTCTAGTGACGTGTTCATCCTCTTCAACATATGCAGGCCGTTTATTTCAAAGCTGCTAAAGCTGCTGTTAAAGCTCTACTTGAATATGCACATTTAAAAGGTATCTGATGGCATTATATCTTATCGAAGAATGAATGAATTGTGAGCAAAATTGTTGTTGTCTTTTTGTTGCTTTCAGCCCATTTATTGTATCCTGGGTGGGTCACTGGGGAGGAGGGATCCAAGTCAAACGGAAACAATCTCAGTTTTTTAATTCATTTAAAGAGCTAGATATCTGGCTAAAAACTGCAGGAAAACTGAATTCAAATAATAATAGACGAAAAAGAAAGAATGAAATCTGCTCCAAATGTAAACATCAAATCGATTGACTATGACTTTGGTCTTGAAATGTCATCAGGTTATTTAAATAAACAACACCCACCCCCCGGTTCCCCCTCAGGTTAACACTGTTAGCTCTGTCAGCACATCTCACTGTAGTTCATGCTGTTAGTATTGTCAGGCGACGCCATGTTGAGAGCCGTTGAGAGGCAATCAAAATGCTCCCAATTTGGTATAATACACATTAAAGTAGCTCACCTACAAAGCAATAAGTGAGGATTTTCCCTGATTTTTCCAAACCCTGTCAGTCCCCATCTCTCCATCATGTCCTCAGTGTGTTCCCACCTTGTTGTCACTCTGTACAATGAGGTCTAAATAATATAGTAGTAATAGTATATATCATTTTTTGGTGTCAAATACAGTTTGGACGACTAAAACTCCAATCTGCTTGTCATCATCTCACAGACTTGACACAGCAAAACCTACCTGTGCAGACTTTGCGCAGGGCGTCATACTGGTAGCCCGTCTGACAGTCACAGCGGTAGCTGCCAGGGAGGTTGTGACAGATTTGGCCCACTCCGCAGCGGTGTGTCCCCATCTGACACTCATCAATGTCTAAACAGGCAGAGAGAAAGCTAAAGCGCGTCAGCAATGACCCCCTCTGCACTTGACTGGGGTCTAACTTAAACACAGCTAAACAGTTTTGAGCCTAGATGTATTATTGGTGTGATTTCTCGAGCCTAACAGTTATCAGCATTAGTAAAATATCTATGTTAATGTTTAGAGCTGTTGGTTGGGCTAAGATCTAAGAGTCACAGCTATGCGGCTCAGTAAAGCTGCACATCTGTGCTTTGAGCTAAACACTAACGTTAATATGCAAACCTACAGTGACAATGCTAACAGGCTTGAGGTATAACTTGTACCTTGTTGACCATCTTAGTTTAGCATGTTAGCATGCTATAAGGCACTAAGCACAAAGTACAGCTGAGGATGATGGGAATGCCATTAATGAAAGTGGGGATTGATTTGTCACCCAAGTAATGAGGATTCATTCAAAGGGGAATGTGAATGTTGGACAAAACCACAAATGTCAACCTTGTGTTGGCGTTAGAGGAAATGTCAGTAGGATTCATCCTTTGGGGACCAAACTTTAATGAGTTGTTGAGATATTTCAGTCTGGACCAAAGTTAGCTAAAGCCATGCTGCTAGCGTGGCTAGAAAATGATCAACAGATTGAGAAAGCAATCTCACAACAAGGACTATTTAGTAGCTGTTGTGAAGCTTTTGATCATATCGCATGATGCTGGTGAAGATCATGTGTTACCACCAAAAGCTCTAGCTCAGCAGTGTTACTAACAGACCTTGTGGTAAGACTATTCCTCAGACAATCACAGGCCACAAAAGCAAACTGTGCTGTGAAGTTTGCAGACGACACTACCGTCATCTCCTGGATTAAAACCAAAGAGGAGACTTCATGTGGAGAGGGAATCTACAACCTTGCAGAGTGGTGCTCAGAGAACAACGTACTGTTCAACGTCAGACAAACCAAAGAGATGATGGCTCATTTTTTGAGAAAAAGAGTTGAGGACACACACAACATCAATGGAGCTGAGGTGGAGTGGGTGAACGGTTCCTGTGAATCAGCAATACTGAGAACCTGACGTGGTCATCACATTTCTACACCCTGAAGGAGAAAGCTCAGAGACGGCTGTATTTCGTAAGATTCTTTTCTTTTCTTTTTACAAAGGAGCAATAGAAACCTGACTGGAAACATTACAAACTGGCATAGAATGTGCTCGGCCCAGGACAGGAGGGCTTTGCAGTAGGTGATTAAACCGGCCAAAACTTTAATGGTACCCGTCCACCGAGCATCAGTGATATCGGTGAAGTGAGGGTGCACATTATTAATTCATTGATTTTATGGGAATGCTGCTATATCAGCATTCATACCAATTCAGAGCTAGAACAACTAATTATTATGTTTTCCGTTGTTGTCTGTTAACATCCACGTCAGTCTAAAAAATTCATCCCACCATCATTTCATCCTATCAAACATGTGTGTGGAATTGTCATCTCATTCTTGAGTCATGGCTAAGAAAGGGATTTGTGAGGTCAAGGGGACCTTTGACCTCCAAATTCGGATCAGTTCAGCCTAGAAAGCAAGGCGACCGTATTGCAAATATGAAGGAAATCGCTCAAGGCGGACAGAGATACTGCGTTCATAAGAATGAGTCGGACATGAGGTCACAGTTAACTTGACTTTTGACCTTAGACTACCAAAATGTAATCAGTTCAGCCGTGGGTCTAATTGGACGATACTGTGTCAAATATGAAGAATTTCCCTTGAAGGTATTCCTGAGATATAGTGTCCATGAGACAGACGTACATACAGATGTATGGTAACAGTAAGAACATACTGTAAGTGTTGGCCTTTGTACAGCACTTTGCATTTTGCCCCTTCACTTGAGGTACATTGAAATAAAACAATGCCTGCAATAAACTCTGTAGCTGTGAAGAAACCATAATAATGAGAGGAGTTGTATTCCATTACTTCGTGGTTATTTCACGGTTTCATGAATAAACATATATATTTCGTCTATCTATTCATATCACTACTTATTTTATATTGTCTTTACAATGTATAGTGTGTTTAATTTTGCCCTCAATATAACTGACCTTAACTAGATGATATTCAGGCTCATTCTACCCTATTATGGCATTCTGACAACAACGCACTTGAGCGCTTGTGTGTGAACCAAATGCAACTTCAATGCTTTCATTCACATGTTTCCATAGTCGGCAGTCTCCTCATTCAACGCTGTTGTGTGTAGGAAGTAAATCTCACCGACACACTTGGCTCCATCGGGGCTGACGTGGTAGCCATGGCTGCACATTATGATCTTCTGCTGGCACGTGTAGGAGCCCACTGTGTTGATACAGTTAAAGCCTGAGCTGCACGGCTCACTCAGGCTGCTGCACTCATTTATGTCTGCAGAAACACACACACACACACACACACACACACACACACACACACACACACAATCACGATTAAAGACAGCTGAATAAAAATGACACAGCAGAGTGATTGGTTGGAGGTTTAATCCTGATTGACAGGTCTATTGATGTCTACTTCCTCCCCGTGATTTTAACAGAACAATTATGTAGCAGTGTAAATACACTGCTACATAAGTAAATACTTGTTGATGTTAATCGTGTCTTCTTAATATAGTAGTCCAATACTCGGGGAGCAGTGTTGACGGAGCAGATTATGATTGCAGATTTAATGCATGTAGTCAGGTGGAAGTGGATGGACAAAATAATAAACATGGGATAGTATTTTGACTGAATGAGTATCAAAAAGACAACCAAGCTGAATTGTCGTGTCCGTTAGATGGGAATTGCTGAACAGGCAGGTGGACAAGCCATATAGATTACAAAAAGATTACTGAAAATCACAATAAACAGTTTACATTTGAGAAAGCTAAAGGAAGCCTCCGAGCATCAATGATAGATCTGTACTGTATGTGTGATCATCTGCTGTGAGTCATTAGGCTTGATGATTACTTTGCTCTGCGTGGTTGTATCAGCTGGGCTGTATCAGACACTTTTTATGACAACAAGAGCACCCAGGGGTGAACATTATGGCGACCTCGTGATATTCCAAATGAATAAAGTTTCCCTACACACTGCAAAACACATTAGCAAGTTGTTTAAAAGAGGGCATATATATATATATATATACATATATGTGTATATATATATATACATATACATATATACATACATACATATATACATACATATATACATATACATATATACATACATACATATATACATACATATATACATACATACATACACATATACATACATATATACACATATACACATATACATACATATACATATATATATATATATATATACATAGTGTGTGTATGTATGTGTATATGTATATATGTGTATATATGTATATATGTATATGTATATATGTATATATGTGTATATATATATGTATATGTGTATGTATATATGTATATATATATATATATATGGCACTAAATAGCGCGAGTTAGATATTATTGTAATGTTTCGGACCTTTGTCCGAGGAGATTTTCTCAATCTGGACCTTTTGGAATTTTAGTTGAATACCCCTGTTCTAGATCATACGTTACAGTTACAAAATGTCTGAAATGACGATCAACAGTAGCCTAGTCCTTTGTAAGTCTATTACATTATATGCGATTGTCGTAATCGCATATAGTTGCCATGGCAACAAATTCATTTCAACATTTAAAAAAAGTATTACATCTAAACTGGTTTTAATGATACCAATTAAAAGTGAACTTTGTTGAATATTTGAAATTTCGTTCAATATTTTGATTAATATTTAGCCTAAATATTGAACAATGAGTGAACTCTGGGAGCCCTCATATCACGACCTTCTCAGTGTCACATGTCCGTGGGAAAAAAGGAAGTGCAAACAGCTTTCCTGATAATGAGACGTGATCAATTAGTTGTCTAATCAAAGTAGAAGACCCTCCCCTTTCACAACTAAACTGTAAAACATGGATTTCATATTACCGCCTCTTAGTAATATTAGACATAATTGCTGCCATATGGCAACACCGCGCAGCAGAGGGTTGGCCAGCAGAGAGCCGCACTGACGTGTCTCTTACCGACACAGTTGCCATGGGAGTCCTGTGTGAAGCCGCTGATGCACTTGTGTTTGGGTTTACAGAGGAAAGAGCCCGCGGTGTTCTCACACGCAAAGCCTGCACCGCAGTTATGGGTCCGCAGAGCACATTCATCAGCGTCTGGAAGAAAGAGCAGACCAGATAAAGTCATCAGACCACACTTTATTTAAATGTTAAGAGCTTAAATGTGCTTTCAGCTTGTCAGGTACAGCAGGTGGCACTGTGGCTCAAGCACAGAACAAACATGTGCAGCATCCCAGAAACTGTGAATGTGAAGGAAAAAAATCCCCCTCCTATAAAAAATACTGTATCACAACTCTGCAATTAGGAGAAGTTGAGCAAAACTTCTTAAATGACAGTTATTGAATCTCATGAGCGATGGATAGAGTGTAAATGGAAAAGTTGTTCCTCTGCGCCGCGAGCCTGTTTCTCAGGAGTTCCCGTCACGTCGGGTCCTCTGAGACTCGTCTTCCCCAACCAGTCATCGCCAAAGTCGTTGCTTTCATGAAGCCAATTAGTTGCCCCCCCCCCGTTGGATGGCCGGCTAAATATTACCTTCATTATCGAGCGACATTGATTCGTCCTCCCTGGTGCCAAGAAGTGATGACACGGAGTCGCGGAGCTACAAAGCGCTTCCTCTCTGGGTGATTATCTTGTCACATACCGAAAGACAGCACAAACATCACCACTGGGGCCAAAACCTGTTGCATAAATCTCAATGAAGCCCTGCTGACTCATGACCACCAACATGCAATTGTCACAGTATGGTAGGAATGAATATGATTCTAAATAATCCACATTACTCTGTTTCTACACACCACCCTGAGGATTTGTGTGGATTCCTCTGTCACTAATGTTGATTGTATTCCTCTAAACAGGGATGGGGGTCAAAATGAGGCGTCTAATTATATCCTGGTCCCGTGAAAGAGCCTCTTTGAAAACAACTGTCTGCCATGAATAAACCCAGGACACTCCAATTGCACCTATTCATGTTGTAGTAGCCTATTCAGGGATGTGTGCACGCTCAAAGGGCTCTTTAAGAACAAATTATCATTGGGTTTTCAGACATACAATTAGAAAGAGCAATAGAATCCGGCAGTGCCTCAGTATGAGTCAGGAGTGTTGGACCTGTGCGCAGCTGGTTAAATTGCTGAGGCAACACAGAGTAACACACTCCAACACAAACACGAGCACTCGGCCAAACTAAGTGCCAAGTTATTAAGTGAAGGTAATGTTCAGAACCTCCCAACGATAGGCCCGTCACTACATATGAATGAGTATTATGGTTTTCAGCCAGATGTAACGCAACCCAGTGTCTTTCCGGGTTTATAACCACGGTTTAGTCAGTCTTTTCCTAACCTTGAAAGGTGCAATGTGTAAGATGTAGCCAAACCACTAGGGGCAGCGTTTCATATATATATATATATATATATATATATACATACATATATACATAAACATATACATATACATATACATATATACATACATACATACATACATATATACATATATACATATATACATACATACATACATATATACATACATATATACACACATATATACATATATATACATATACATATACATATATATATACATATATATACATAGATACACTGTATATATATACACACATATATATATATATACACACATATATATATACACACATATATATACACATATATACATATATATACACATATATACACATATATATATACACATATATACATAAATACATATATATACACTGTATATATATATATATATATATATATTAGTGCTGGGCAACGATTCAAATATTTAATCGCGATTAATCACATGGATTTTTTGCGATTAATCACATTGTTATGGCAAAGTTCAATAATGAATTCAAAAGTAGTGTATTGCGAACTTTTATTTTAAAAGTACCGCTATATGAACAAAAGTGCAATAACATTTGGTTCACGAGATGCAGGTAGCATGTTTTATACTTAATGTGAATATAAGTCATACTTTGTTGGCATCTTATTCTGAAAACCAGATGTTCGTCTGAAGAAACCGGATGTTGTCTCACGTTAATCTTTCCGCTAACTTTCAAAGTCCTTCGCTCGCTCCCGATCTGTGCCGTTTAAATGCGTTTACCTTGAATTTCAGCATATAGGTGCACTAAAATTTCTGACTGTAGGATGTTTGCTGGCTTTTATCCCACTGTTCTTGTCATCCTCTTGTTGTTATGTATATGTATTGTCTCTTGTCTTTCAATAAAAAAAAATAATAATAACAATAATAATTATAATAAATTTAAAAAATGCGTTAACGCGCGATAAAATAATTGTCGGCGTTAATTAATGAATGCGTTAACGCGAAATTAACGCGTTAACTTGCCCAGCACTAATTATTAGTTACTATTATTAAGTACAGTGATCATGTGAACAGACACAAACTTATCAAAAGTCTCTCCAGCTGTTAAAGCCGACTCACAGCTGATCCTCCATCATCAGAAACAGACGTCGCTTCACGAGACACTTCAGAGGAAAGGACATCTCATGTCTCTTAAAACATATTTCCTCGTTTCCTCTCTCCTCGCATGGTTTCTTCCATGCATCCCTGGTGGGAGGGACTAAGACGCAAGGAAAGGACCGAAGTGAGGGAAACGGGGATGCAATTAATAGACATGGGGTACTTCTCAAGTCTCTTAATTGTCGTTTTCTCGCTCCTCGATCCTCGCTTGAACCGGTATCATCCCTTCGATGGTTGCCAGGCAACCGGCAGAGTTTCCAGCAAGTAAATGTGCCCAGCTAGGACATAGTCCAGCTCATAAAACCACAACTTACCTCTTGGTTTTTTGGATGGATTGAACCAATGAGATATAACTTTTAAAATAGTGAGCTTTAGATGTTCTTGCATAGCTAGCTGCTGGTTCCAACTTCATATGTACAAAACAGATGTGGGAGTGGTATCAATCTCATATAGCTGTGCATTCCACAATATGTTTAACTATTCCTTAAAAAAACATTGTAATGGGATTAAAAACACACTGTTGACACAAACAGTAACCCTGGCTTTTGCAGAATTGCCCCAAATTGGCATTATTGCCTGATGATAGGGTTGAGGTTCTGCTTTACTGACCTTTCTGTCTTATTTCTGCTCTCTATTAAAATAGAAGGTAAACAACCCTGTGCTGCATGTTAAACAAGATATCATCAGACATCATCAGGACCACTTTAGTGGCTCTGAAAGTGACTGCTGGGTAAATTGGCTTAACGAAATGCATCAGGAACAATGAACTCACCCTCACAAGCGCCGTTCCTCAGGTGGTAGCCAGCAGGACAGGCGACCCGCGGCTCGCATACAAATGAGCCCACCATGTTCACGCAGCGCTTGCCGGGCTGGCAACCGTGGGTGCTGGTCGCACACTCGTCCACGTCTGCAGAAGAAGAACAACAAAGGTGAATGACGGGGGGGGGATGAATGTGAGGTGGAGATGAGGCCGACTCTCAGAGGTCCGGTACATAATCCCCCGCACCAGCTGGCTCTGACTGTAAACATGATGGGGCTCAATGAGTCAGCAGCAGACAGACGTCTGCACTAAACACTAAGAAAGGAAGTCATTCTTAAATCCTGGAGTCTGAGGCATACCAGGATGTGACATGTTCGCCTGCATGGAAATCACTCACTGGGAAGCTGTCATGAGAGTCTCAGACTGAAACACTGGCTTTAACACTAAACTGAAAACACAAACATTATATTAGGGAATCTCTATGCAGCATTATCTCTTCTTTCAGCTCATTTGTTGTTTTTTATTTAGACAACTTGAATGTTTCAGCGCTCTCATCAATCTCTGATCCAGATGGAACAGGCAGCTGTTTTCAGTACTAATAAACTCACAGAGCAACTGCTACCTGCCCAAACAGCAGACTGATAAAGTTAGCAACTAGCTGGTGAACTGAGCGAAGCATTTAGCAGCTAAAGAGCTCAATATTTGGAGACCAAAACAGAGCTGAAAGGGGGGGGGGGGGTGAATGTACATCTAAACTGACTGATGTTGACATTTGTGATACATTTATGTTTTTAAGCTGTACAAATTGTTACAGCCAACTTGCTAATCAGCAGCTTATTTGTCCTGCTAACTGTCATTAGCAATTAATTGTTTTGTAGCTCATTTAGCAAGCTATTAACTAGAAAACTAAGATGAGGTTTAGGTGCAACATTTTTTGTGTGTTGTATTCAGGGCCTGACATTAACATTTTGCTCACCAGGTACTGTGGCTAGTGGTTTTTTAAAGTCACTAGCCACTGACATTGTCACCAGTGTGTGTTGGTAACTTATTAAGTAAGTAAGTAAGTAAGTAAGTCATTTTCACCAGGTTGTGTCTTCTCTGTTTACCTTACCTATTAAATATCGCCACATTGTAACTCCTGTAACTTTTTGTCTCATAATGGCACGAAAGACAAGATATGGAAGAATGGACCAATAGAATGAATAAACGGTGTGTTCAGGTGCTCATGGGAGAGGTAGGATCTTAATGTCACGTTTTAATGGGTGAATTATTTCATATATATATAAATGCAGAATGTTTCACCCACCAAAGTGACTAGTAAGTGTCACTGCGTTACCGGGCACTGCCTAATTCCCCCCTGCATTTGGCGGATGGACGGGTGCCAATGCTAAGCCCTGGTTTTATAGTATGACTAATGATAGTAACAGTGATGATTACCACATTGCGATGTGGTAATCATTTTAGGACTATCATGAAATGATCTGACTCGCACTTGGGCAAAGAAACAAGGGCCTTCTTGCTGGTGTATCCACAGACAGGAGGTAAGAAGATGTAAATATACATAGCAGAGCACAGGACAAGCTGACGTGTATGTGTTGGCAAAAAAACAAACAACGGAATTTACATTTTAGCTGGACTATGTGAATATTTGTTCTCAGTCCGACTGATACACATTACGCTCACAGAATCGGTGCTGGAGTGCTGTTTGGCGGGCAGTCGTATCAACTTTGGACAGTGACTGCTTTATAAATCCCAAGTCATCAAGTGCCATGTTGTTTGTTATGGTTGTCGTGAGAAATAAAACACACAATCGCGAACATTTTTGGATCTTTATCAGTCAAACAGCACAGCAGCCAGCAAACAGGCGCTGTTGATTTATGACACTGGCGTGATCGCGCCGAAACAGCGGCCCATAGCTCCGCCACGGCCTTCCCTTATCGCGCATCGCAGTGCACGCTCGATTAGCTGGGTGCACTGATAGCATTGGGCTGGGATTTATTGTGTGTGTGTGTGTTTGTATGCTTGTTTGCGGGGTAGGGTGGCAGTCATCAAACCCCCGAAATATGTCGCATTCCGCTGGGAAACTGGTGAAAATCTGTACAAATCTGCATCACGGAAGCCGGGGCTCCAACACAAAAGGCAGGAACAAAAGGGGGAGCGAATTCTCCCGTGTCCCCTGTGATCTGTTGGCAGCCCCTCACTGAAACGCCTTTGTCGACTTTCAAAGCTTTTGCCGCAAGGGGATGCAAATGAACCCGTGCGCCTTGCGACACCTTTCCCACGGGGGAGCAGGAGGAGGAAAAACACTGATCTGAGGTCTCTAGCAGCAGCTCTTTTCCCTTTCAGGTTATTCATCCTTAGAAGAACTACATAAGCATCACCTCTCACACCACAGAACATGGTTTACTGGATTACATGAAGCCTCTGTGGAGCTGCAGCAACGACATTCATCTTCACCCACTGAAATGAACAATTTCCTCTTAACATTGAGTAGCTCTCTGTGGAGTCTACAGGACTCGTGCTATCCAGGCAGCGGCATGGCGACACGCTCTCATTTCGGGGCCTGCTTTCGCAAATGTTCCCAGTTAACGGGAGGGTATTTCGGGGCGAATCACACTGAGCGCCTGCTCTTCCGGGCCTCGCTCTCCTCAGGGTTGGACGGGACCGTTTCCAAATGTTTGCGTATTGCCAGTGGTGCAGAAAGTCGCCATCTCCTTCCACTCTGGTGGCCAGCTTTATTTCCAGTGCGTCATTCGAAGAGGGGGGGAAATAAAAGGAAAAAAGCGCCTATTGCCTCAAGGTCCCTACCTCCCCCAACGGGTCCCTAAGGACAGCCCCATTACACAGTTGCGAGGAGTGAAGTGATCGAATACAAGGTGGAAAGAAAGAGAAACGCAAATGCTAAGTTGAGCGGAGCGTGGGGATGGCAGTTTTAGAAAGATTCCATCAAGGGCGAGACCAGAGGAGGCTGTCTGAGGAAGATGTCTGAGAGGCAGGACCATTAAGAGGCACAGAGGAGAACACACACCCTGTTGTTCTTGAATACTGGACCCAGCTGACGAGATTTTTTTGGAGTTCAAGCTGAGGTGGATGAAGTCAGCCTTGGCTTGTTTGCAGATTTGGTTCGAGACAAGAGGGCTAGGGTTACACAGATGCAGACTGGTGCGACTGTGAGGAGCACGAGCTGTGAGCATGGTTCTATCCCAATCATCACACAAAGAGCGAAGATAAACACCGACCTATTTGAGAGTCGGGCTGGGTGTCGGTACTCTATACCTTTACGGTATTGACCGAAATAACCCAGCGCCATGTAGGGTCGAAGCTTCTCCAGTCAAAATATACCTGCGATTCTTTTTGTACCCAGACCTAGAAGAAATATATATTTGTATGGTGCTCGCAGCCAATCAACACAAGCATTGTTTGATTAAATTAGAGATGCATCGATACTGACATTGGTCCAATACTGACTCAAATAGCTGGATCAATTATCTGTGACAATAAGCAAGTCAGGTATTGCATACATTATTTTAATAGAAAACAATTGTGTTTTTAACAAAGTTAGGCAATATTAAAGTCCAGCCTCATATTTCCCCACACTAAAGAATGATCCCATTGTCTTCCACACACTGTTATCAGATAGGTACTAGGTACCAAAGCCCAAGCATCTCTAACGGTATTTGGATTGGAAAAGTCAGATCGATACATTAATGCGGCATATGATTGGCCTGCTACCGCAGCAGCTATAACCCATACAGTCTGTGGTGCGGTGAAGTCGATCACTGTGTATTTAACAGAGCTGGCAGTTCAGCGCGCCATGATGCCACCAAAACATTGGCAAGTATGGCTTTACAAAGTGCCTTTGGTGTCCGATAAACATAAATACAGCAGTGGTGGCATCCACATGATGAGCATCGAATGAAGTAGGAAAATAAGGTATCAAGTGAAGTACTCTACCGGTATCTGTATCACTTTAAGGGTACTGGTATGGTCGTTGTTTAAATGATACCCAGCCCTACATGTGAGCAATATTTTTTCAGGCTTTTTCAACAACTGAGCAACTCGATCTGCTGAGAAATGCCTCGAGGTATTTCGGAATGCAATACAAAAACCTTGGGATGAGAATTTGTTGTCAAGATAATCAACTAAGTGACATTCTGCTGATAAATGTACCTGTTCTCATGTGTGTTGCACAGGGCCACCAAACTATTTAAAAGCCTTTCAAGGTTATGAAGACACAATTATGCAGTAGGGTTGCTTGCAATAGTCTTTGTGCTTCTATGAATATAGAGCACTTAGCTTGATACTATCACAACTTTTAAAAGGGACACATTATGAAACCTCTCCACAGCGATAAGGGAGATGATATCAATTTGAATGATTTTTCAGTTTGGTTAAAGAGAAGATGGTCACCCTGGATCAGACCACAAGGCTTCTCTTTGTTTGGGTTTGGCGGGTCTGAAAGCTACGTGGTGGATTAGTGTTGATATCCTTCACAAAGTTTGGTGGTTCGCAGTGATATCACCCTCCAACAATCCCAGCCATGTAAATCTAAAGAGGATGGTTGCAATGTGACCAAGGAGAGAGGGTAGCACATGCAGGCCTCGATGAAGATTGCAGGGTCTTATCCATAGACTGTATATAAGAAGTGGACGTAGTCATTGTGATGCCCCCCATTGGTGGGTGGAGCCTCGAGTTCGGTATAGTCGCCATCGCCATTTTTGATTTTGTCCGTCCATAGTTGAACTGTGGAAGTGACACCGTGGTTGAAACGCCATTATGCGGCTCTGGTGGCGGACTGTCAATCACAAGGTAGCCCCGCCCTAAAGCATACTCTGCTTTATGGTCTGTTTGACTCTAAAATGGATCATAATTTACTAAAAGAACATCATGCTGTATTGAAGAAGACTTGAAACTAGAGATTGAGACCATAAACTCATGTTTACAATGTTTACTGAGGTAATAAATCAAGAGAGAAGTAGAGTCATTTTCTCATAGACTTCTATACAACTAGAGGAGTCACCCCCTGGTGGCCAGTACAGAGAACGTAGGTTTCAGGCACTTTCACATTGGCTTCACTTTTCAGAACCAGAGGTTGCCGCATGGGCTCATCCATAGTTAACATAAATATATATTAACTGCTGCAACCGTTTGTAGAAGTGAATTTGATGGAAGGGCAAAGGTGGCAACCACATGTGTTGAAACTAGAAACCATTATGATGTCTGAATTTGGTTTGTCTGTGTTTGCCAGGGAACTTTAAGAACATCCCTTTGCAGCGTGGTGACGAGCAGAACTAACGTCAGAGCACTGGTTATCTCTCCGGCCCACACATTTAATATTCAGATTGTGTATAAAGCCCTCTTCACACATCCTATCCTGGTTGACACACAGAAAGGATATCTATGGGAACAACTGCATCTGCAGCTGAACACACCATTGAGAGAGAAAAATACGGCTTTATTTGCTCTGTTAACTGTGAAATAAAATACCATGCAGTCTCATCACCATTTATGATGGAAGTGCTTGCATTTGCTAAACATATATTAGATTACTTTACTGCAAACATCCTAGGTAGGTGCATGCCTCGCAGTGTTTCTACACTCAAACAAGTACCACATTGTTTACTTCACAGTGTACTTACATCTCTGTTAAATCCTCAAAAACAGTCTCACACTTTGCAGTACTAATTGCTTTGTTCCATTCCAGCCTAAACCAAAAAAGTTGCCCACCCACATCTACCATGTGGGAACACTTTCGGCCCTCACTACGATTGCTGAATGGAGTGAAGTCGGAGGGGGAAGCGCTAACTCTCATGTGGTGCTTCCAGAGGTACGGTCCCGTCTGCTGACTGACAGACAGATTAAATAAACTCAGCCAGGGCTGCACTTCCACTGTATACATTTACCGTTACAAGTGCAGGGAAATCCAAGTTTCTATAGCAGGCCTTCAGTATTTAAGCAGCAGACGATCTGAGGAAAAAAGTATTCATGCAAATGTTTTTTCATGAATTTCTATTTTCATGTTAATATCATTCACCTCCTACCTGTCCATTTCTGGGGTAGGATTTGCACAACAAGCAACTTATCTTTGCTGGTGTGGATAGAAATCCAGAGGTATACCATATATCTTTTTTTTATCACAAAGGGAAATTAAAGTAAGTCCATTCATGGAAACATTTACGTACTCTTCTGGAGGGAGATTTAATGTCCATGGCAGGCGGCAAACTCCGGTTATGCCGAGTGAAGCCAATGAGGAAGTGTCTTAATACTTGCATTCTCTCTAATGTCCAGCAGGGGGCGACTACTCTTGTTGCAAAAATAAGCCTGGTTGTACAGAAGTCTATGAGAAAATGACTCTACTTCTCTCTTGATTTATTACCTCAGTAAACATTGTAAACATGAGTTTATGGTCTCAATCTCTAGTTTCAAGTCTTCTTCAATACAGCATGATGTTCACTTAGCTCTGCTAAGATGTCTTTCGAGCTAGGTTTCTAGATTAGTAACGCTGTTTGAGCCAAATCCCAACCCTACCTTTGTATGTTACAGTCTCAGAATGATGAAGACAGTTGGAGAACGATTAGATACAAAATAGAATGTAGATTATTAAGGATAATTATTTTCTTTGCAACTTTCATGTGTTTCCCAAATGATGTCCACATCCTAGGCATTCTATTTCAGTGATGAGCAAGTTACTTTCAAAATGTAAATGTAATATATTACATATTACTAGTTAGTTTCACTGTAAAGTAACAAATAAGTACACAGAAGTACAACCAGGCATTATTAATTGGAATAGGGTTTTATAGCGAGGAATCAAAGCACAGAGGATCAATGTTGTAAGAGTAGCACAGGCCATTTGGAGAACAGCAGCGCCAGCAGTTGAGTGTATAGGAAATTGGGTACTTCCAGGAAATCATGTTTTATTGGTTGATAATGAGAAGATATGTTGACAAATAATTGTGTTACCGTGTGTTTCTTCTGCTCCGGGAAGAGCACGCATGATTTGTTTTCACCCTTTAAACGACAACCAACTGCAGTTGTGAAGTCTGACCCGAACCTGTTTTGCCAAGTTTTCATGTAGAACTTTGGGAATTGAAGGCTAGTAAGTAAACCGACGCTGTGTGTAGCTGCTACAGTGTAATTGGTCACAGTTGAACAATGCTCCAAGGAACAGTCTTCCACCAAGTGGGAGCCCAGTCAGTCGATGCATTGCTTAGAATCACAGGACCTTCATTCTCCTCCTTCATCAGTGACTGCATCCTATTAAATGGTGTCTGCACAAACTGCTCAATTGCACCTTTTGTCCCGCTGTCATGGCCGTATATGTGTCGTTCATTTACACAGCAGTGAGTGGTATTGTTCACGGTGTTGGGTTTGTTTGCTCCATCCCTCAAGCAGGAGTCACACAAGGCAACAAACAACAGCTCAAGGGATGTACACGCGAGCGTTGATGAATCGCCGATGAATCGCCGATGAATCGCCGATGAATCGCCGATGAATTGCCGATGAATCGCCGAACGGCGCCAAGACGAGAAGGAGCGGCAGCCCTTACCTTCACACGTGCGTCCGTCCGTCTTCAGCAAGAACCCCGGGAAGCAGGAGCAGAGGGCCCGGCCTGCCTCCGCCGTGCACTGCTGACTGCAGGGACCGTTTTCTGCAAGAAAATAAATGCGAGCTGCATGATTCTGCTGCAATCATCTCTGGATTGCGCGCAGGACAGACGTTCAACTCATGTCTACCTGTTTCTCTGTCGTCTTTTGTCATTTGTTACGCTGATGTCTCGCTCCCTCAAGGTTCCCATGGACCCCCACTTTCACATCTTTGTCACAGCCTGAAGGAAGGAGCCCCGGCGTTCAACACAACAGACTCAATTCTCACTATTTAACAGCCCGATAGTCCTAAAAGGTGTTGGCGAAGGAACCATTTCCCACATTCCCTGCTTAACATCAGAAGGCCGCTCGATAAATTGATCAGCATATTCTAAAACGAACCAGAGACACTTTGAAGGAGGAGCGGGGCTTTTCGTTAGAGTCTGGAGTAGAGACTGAAGGGTTTGCCATGCTGATCTCCTCCTGACTCGATCAAGATTCGGCTTGCGGAGCTGCAGCAGCATGGACGCTGCAGATCAACTGCGACTGAGTATTTTATCTTCGAACGCGCATACAGCGAGGCAACTGGCTCAGTTTTTTTACTGCTGCTCACGAGGGAGTTATTCGCCTCGGGGGAAATCGGGACACACGTCAGCCCGTCTCGTTGATTTAATACAAAGCAGGGCTGATTGGTTGAGCAGATGCGTCCTGCTCACTGGGCTCTGGCTCACCAGCGAGTGCTTGAGCACTTCACCGCCTCATAGGAAACGCTCTCAAAAGCCCGACTGAATAAAAAGATAATAAAAAAATATGGAACATGGCGTTGATGTCAGAATATAGTTTTAGATGCTCAGCTGGCATTTACGAACATGTGTTCCTGAACGTCGGCTTGCACTGCTACTACACTGCCAGTGAGGGTCTGTTAATAAACCTTCTTTCCATTTTATCAAATACAAAAGTTCAAACAGAAATCTGAGAACATGACTGCCACAAATCACACCAAATAATCAAGATTAGGAGTAAAATAATCAAAATACATTATTACAAAAAAGGACCGGCTGTCTTTTAAGAGAGGGGATTACTTAAAATACAATTATTTTATAAATACAGTGGAGTTCGACATTTGAGCAAATAATATTTTGGCAGTATAATGCAATTGTTTTTGTAAGATATTCAGCAGGCTATGTCAGTAACTGTTGGTCAAATTCTGTCCGGAACATAGCTCCACCACGTCATGCGATATGCTACGTCATTACACTTAAGGTACAACTACAACTGGGACCCCTACCGATGACATTCAATGACCAGGGATTCACATTATAGACAAATTGGCCACAATTCCTGACGTTGACCATACAGGGTCCAGGAGTGAACCCTGTTCAGCCAAGGGGAGAAGAGTCCCACAGCAGGAAGTGAATATCAGAGCCTAGAATCATGCCTCATGTTCCTACATTAATGTATTAAGGAAATCCCTCTCTGCTTCCAGCTATCTTTAAACAGCTGGAAATGAAGTTTTGTTGCATTCCGTAATTTTAATATTTTGCATTATTTGCATCATACAGTAAATGAACCATGCAGAACCATAAATAAATAGCTTGACAGACCATTTCCTATTATCTAAAACAATATTAGATCCTTTAAAAGGGAACTACGTCCATTTTCAAAATTACCTGTTATTCTTATAGTCTAAGACAGTCCAATAACATCAGTGAACATGATCAACTCTGGCCCAAATCCAAAATGTAGAGTCATCCGACACTGAGAGCACCCAGGGGGAATATTCTGTGTATACAGCAGCGTTTTCTGTTTCAAAACTGACAACACTACAACACAATATGTCTCATTTGGGTGTAAAACAGATCAAATCTGCATGACGAGGCTGTTGCAGGCAACGATGCATCGAGGTTCCACCGCGAAAGAACGTTTTACCCAACAGAGCCATATACATACCAGGGCCAGGACCATCTAAATCACCATGAATGAAGTTAGACAGGAAAAGGTTGATGATTCGCTGAGTCATCCAAAACATAAGCTGTGTTTGTTTTTTAACCTGAAAACGTAACGTGCTGCACAAAAAGGGCAACAGAGAATCCAGGACGCCCATCATCTGGCTACGGTGACACAATCAATCATCTTCTCTTTATTGCCTTTTAGAGGTCTATGCTGAAAAGTTTGAATGTGTGGTGTTGCCGTTACCTGCACATGGGTGGAGGCGGGGACGGGCGGGCGTGGTCGCACCAGATGCGGCGACTTGTGTCGGGACCACAGCGGGACCGTACTCTGGGACTCCGTTGTCCTCGTCGGGACTCACTGCACATGGAAGCAGAGACCAGGAAGAACACTGAAAGGGTTAAACTACAAAAAGGAAATTACTCCGTGCCTTCAAATGAATTGAATTGCGGAACGAATGACGACTCACAAAACCAATTTTAAAAAGGGCAATATTCGGCATGATATCTATTTCCTAATGACAGGACATAATCGTGCCCAGGCTGTATGTCTTTGCCATTAAACTATTTTATAGAGCATGGAGAGGTCTGTGAATGAATTGTATCGCATTGGAGGTCGCGGGGAATTTTGATGAGCCTGTTTAAGCGGCTTTTGCTCAAGTGCCATAAGTATGGTGGGGAAATCTGTTGTTGGTTTGAAAACGGCGTAAACACAGTAATAATGACCGTAGAGACACATTACCATAAAAGTTCAGATTCCTGTTTGGAAGCTTTTAATGGTCGTAAAATACTTTTTATTGTTCATTCCCTCATCCTCATGTGTGGATTCCAGTCAGGCACGTGTGTTTATTTTAGTAAAACCTAAGGAACACGAGGTCAAATAGGAGGCAACATGAAGAGCATGTCAAAAAATGGGAAGAAGCTACCTATACAGTTGTGTGAAAAAGTGTTTGCCCCCTTCCTGATTTCTTATTTTTTTGCATGTTTGTCACACTTAAATG